ACTTCGATTCTTTATGGATATAACAATAAAATAACGTACTAGATCTCTAAAGAAAAATAAGGGGTTCTGCTTAAAATGTAAAAAAAAATAATGTATGAAAAACAGCAAAATCCCAAATGAGTTCTTGTTTTTGGGTTATCGTTTTCTTGAAGAAATAGACAAAATTTTATTTTTGTATTGGAAAAAATATGTATGACTCTGCTGGAAAATGTGAGTGCTATATTAAGATTCATAAATAAAGTGATGTCATTATTTGAAGGTAGCATTGAGTTGGTGAATTCATAAATCCGTAAAAAACTATTGACTATAAATTGTCAATGAAAACAAAATTGTTTCTAGAGAATATGACGGTCTCTTCGATACCAATGGCAGTAAATGGTAGCAGTATCGAGTTGGTTTCTTGCACTTTATTAATTATACCACGGGCTTCCACATTGAAAAAACTGTGTCAGAAGTTTGGTGTGGTCAGAAAAACTTGCATATAAATAAGTCACAATTTTTTTTAACGAACCCGCATAATTGAATAAATTCAGACATATCCACACTGTATGTATTATTTGGGATTTTTTGATATCACTTTGTAATCCGACTTATTCAAATAATCAATTATACATACTCCACTTTCCAAATTTGCTTTTTCAAAACATCACGGATACAGAACACAACCAACACCCCAACATTGCCAAGTTTCGTGCTTTGTGAGTTGCTGGGTATAGCTATTTATTAGATGAAAAAACCATGAATGGTACATAGCAATAACCAACCTGTGCGTCAAACTTAGAAATATGACAGGACGATACTTGTAACTTCTTATTAAATGAAGAGCAATTATTTTTCCTGTTTTTTCCCTTTCTTTTGTCATTTTAATCATAGTTCATTTCTAAGAAGGAAAATCCCAATTTCAGAACATCTTGAATAGACGTGGTACAAAAATTATTAGAAATTATTTTTGGTATAGTTTCTGATGCGATGCGAAATGACTATCATTCAGACATTATATATATATATATATATATATATATATTCCATACGAAGAAAATAAAGGTGAAAAGAAGTAATTCATTTTGATTGTAAAACACTCTTTGTTGCACGGATAGAACATTACATTGCAACTGAAACGATAAAATCCGCGGGAATAAATATGCTGCCAAACCAGAACTCAATATTTCCGTATTTGCGCTACACGTAGAGGTACTGTTTGATAGGCAATTCAAAACAGAAAAATACATATATTGGCAATCACACCTCCGGAATATTCCCGCTTCACGCAGCAATTTATACATTTGACACCACGTCAAATATTCGAAGGCAATTCGATGCTTGATAATGATTTAATGGGCACACCACACTATGTCATTGGCGTAGACTGATAGATACTGTTTGACTTTAATTATAAGCTTCGTGTGGAATGGAAAGTTTGTCTGTTAGGACGATTTGCGTTTAATTGCTTTTGTCGATGTTGTGTATGTGCATTTTATAGAGATGTCTAAATAAGAATACCGTCTGTTGGTTACGAACTATTCGAAAAAATAATCACAAATAAAACCTGATGGTTAAAACTGTTTTGTAGAGAACAAAGTAATTCTTAGGAAGTTTCTAAAAAACACTGTTTTCATGTGAAATACCGTGAAATAAGAAGAATATCGAAATGGACATGTTCGTATTCCATCTCTGTAACCACGACTAACCGCAGACAGCGCTGTTTTGTGCAACTCATCAGTTGCGGTATCGATCTAGTAGTCCTGGAGACAGTTGAATTAAAGGTATACAAATGAAACACTTAGGCCCGTATCGTCAGTCGTCCCTACAATTGTAGGGCGCGTTTATGGCCTCCTTGATTGTCATAGTTTTCTACTTCTCCGTGTCAGCGGTCTATTTTGAGGTTATGTCACAAACATCTATTTGCATCAAATTGTGCTTGCTTTTGAGTTTTATCATGTTTTTTCAGCCTGAAATTTCCTACAATTTAAAAGGAAAACATATATTAACAATAGGAGAGCGCTGACGCTGACACGGGACGAGTGTAATCTAGAAATCTTTGAAGGAGAGAAAAGAGTATGACAATCAAGGAGGCCATAAACGCGCCCTACAATTGTAGGGACGACTGACGATACGGGCCTAAAAATTCTGTGCGAAGGTAAATGAAAAATCCGACCTTCTCCACCTATATCTAGTTACACTATCAACGCCATATGAAATAAGTAAACAGATCGATACTCCGTACCTTAGGCGGATCTTGAGCGCAGAGGTCGTGACATGCTGTCCTTTACAGCTCATATCGTAGAAAGTATTCCTAATTTCTGTTTTGACGACATCATCGGTCTTGCATTTTTTGATTTTGTGAGATTCCCCAGGTGTTACTATAAGCAAACCTTTCTAATTTTCTGATTTTATTAGCTGAACAAGGACGGGCACATTGGGTTTGTGGATGACGGCGGAAATCACAATCTAGGTGTTACCACTATATATCAATACACCCGAACAAATTAAAAATTATCGAACATTTCAAGTTGTTAAAAATTAGTACCGCATTTTGGAGAAAAACAGCAGTGTCCCTTCTAACCTCGTTTTCATTTTAAAACACCATTTGGCTGCAACCTCGCCGACGAGTAAGTTGTCTGAAAATTTAAATCCTTTCTGAATTGGTTGCTAGCTTCATATTTGTGTTTTAGCTCCTGAAGATGGCACCATATCGTGTCGAAAGCTCGAGGTTACCGTCAAAAGAGTTTACTAAGCTTAAAGTTTGTCAATTTCCCAATTAATAATTAATTGTATTTCTTGCCCAACTGGTCGTCGGCAATGGTAATGACTACTGCTCGTATATATAGTATATAATGACAGTCCCTGATATTCAGAAACTCCTTGTTTAATCGGGTATGCTCCTAAAAATATGGACACTCTTTTAGAATGTACGAGTAGATCATTAATATATACAAGTATATATACGTTTGACAGTCCCTGATATTCAGAAACTCCTTGTTTAATTGGGTATGCTCCTAAAAATATGGATCGTCTTTCAGAATGTACGAGTAGATCATTCATGAAATCAAATATTTATACATAAATAAGTCTCAATAGCAAAGGTCTTGAGCTTAGCATAAATAAAAAATAGCTACCATTGTGAATTACCCCATTATTTAATCTACGGCAGAAAAAACTGTCTGTCTCAAAATACTTCTTAAACATGTGATTTTTCTAGGCGTAGATAACTTATACTCATATCTTTTATAGGTAACAGACTCATAATTTTCTTTTAAATAAACCAAAGCTTTGAAATCTTATTATGTCTATAGGCGCATCATTGTAACATTTTAGGCCCAGAAAGCTATGACATCTGGTAAATATACCTTAATTAGGCTGTAGCATAATAATTTTGGATGGTTTGGTCCGTGTATCATAATTATGGTCTAAATATGAAATAGGTTTACCTTCATGAATCACAAGTATAATTTCACAGAAATACAAATAATATAATAACATTTTGGGCTTAAAAAGCTTTGAAGTCTGGTAAATATACTCTAATTTGGTTTTCTCACTATAGTTTTGGGTGTTCTGCTTCGTGTATCATAATTATGGTCTATACATGATACTTTTACGTGTCCGAATCATAAGTATAATTTCATAGAAATACGAATAGTATGACTTCTATAACAAAATCACCGTAAGTTCATTTCCTCGAATGATTATATTCCTTTCTAAACTTTGTCAACGCGATAACATACGCAGTAGAATCTGCGAGAATTTTTTATCGCATACTCGCTTTTTCCATTGTCTGTCGATTTGTGCCCATACGATTATGTCAGCGATTTTTATCAGCATCAGTCCAGTGGAAGCCAGTGGTTAGATTTGATCAAATGTACAAGACTTGATTCATCGCACTTGCTTACGTTCTCGGACACTTTTGTGATCTTGTTTGGATAGTTATAAAATAATGAGACGATTGCAGTGGCTGTAACCGGTGGAGTGAACAAGATGAAGCCCAGAGGTAGGTAAAATTTCAATTTTCATTTTGATAAGCGCTTTCACATCCAGCTAACATGTATATTTTCGGTATTAGAATGCTACGTTGGTATTCGATTGTTATACAGGTCTATAAAAAGTTGTTTGCTGAGGTCCCGACATGATTGTCTCATGTTTTTCTCGCTGATCACAAATCTGAAGTCAGAATTGGGGATCGAGGGACAAATACGAGAGTAACTTCGACATCAAGATTATAGATTTTGGTATTCTGGATGGAGGCGCATCTCTGAACCGACGAGCAGTCATCACCATACAAAAAAAATCTATAATCTTGATGTCAAAATTACTCTCAGATTTTTCCAACAACCCCCAATTTTAACTTCAGATTTTTGTTCAAAAAGTCATTGAGAAAAATATACCACACCCTACTTTTTTTTGTTGACCCGTGGTATCATATTTCTACATATTAGAATAAACCGCGTCAAAACAAACAAGAGTAATCGTCTGTTATACGATCATGGCAGGGATTATGGCCTGCTGGCCAACAGGATCACGAGGATTTGAAATTTGCGCTGTGGTGTTTTTTTATTTGAGGGGGCATACATTTGATTTGAAAAGAGCATATTTTAAACTCATCCATTATTTAGCTTTCAACGTCGGGAAGACTTGGCGGAATTGAGGGTTCAAATCAGGTGTTTTGTTCAGATACAGTAAATTACTTTTAATAGTCATCGTCTGTACATTCTCTGATATTTCATTATTCCCAAGTGTAAATAGTAGCTCAGATGTCTAGCACGCCGTAGCGTAGTCGAGAGCACACATGTTACTTATATGTCCACTATTAACATAAGTGTTTTTATAGTGGAAAAAACGTTTTTTCACAGTGCTGCACATTTCATTATTATTCCTTGATATTTGCAAGAGTGCTTTTATATGGGGTTGTCCAAAACGGACGCAGGAAAGTAAACGCATATTAAAACAAGAAAGATTGATATTCAAATCAAGTTGGGTACTTTATTTTGAAGGTTCATTTATACCATTTATGCATGAAAAATAATATCGCTCAAATGTTCACCACGACTGGATTTACAGACGTCCACGCGATGGTCGAAATTTTCAATGAAATTTTGCAACATGGTCGGTTCTATGGAATTTATCTCGGCAATGATGTTGTTTTTAAGTTCTTGGAGGGTGGCTGGTTTGTTGACGTAGACTTTGCTTTTCAAATATCCCCATAGAAAGAAGTCCAAGGGAGTCAAATCGCACGATCTTGGTGGCCATGGCACATTTCCTCTGCGCGAAATCGCGCGATCACCGAAGAAGGACTGCAATCGATGGATATTGACGTTGGTTGTGTGGCATGTTGCACCGTCTTGTTGGAAATGAACATCGTCCATATCCATTCCTTCAAGTTGCGGCAAAAAACAGTCCTCTATCATCACGTGATATCGCTCAGAATTGACGGTAACGGAGTCCCCGGCCGCATTTTCGAAAAAGTAAGGTCCGATGATGCCTTTTGACCACAATGCACACCACACAGTCACTTTTTGAGGATGCATCGGCTGCTCTTGATACTCACGGGGATTTTCGTTTGCCCAGATGCGGCAGTTTTGCTTGTTTACCGTCCCATTCAAAGTGAAATGCGCTTCGTCGCTGAACATGATTTTTGATGAAAAATTGGCATCAATTTGGCGGTGTTCAAGGAGCCAATCTGATAACGTTCGGCGCGAAAAATGGTCGGCCCGACGCAGCTCTTGCGTCAATTGGATCTTGTAGGCGTGTACATTCAAATCCTTGTGGAGAATGCGGAGCAAACTGGTTCTCGAAATGCCCAATTCTTGGGATCGACGCGTTGTTGATTGCTTCGGATCGTCTCTCACACTCTCCTTCACAACAGCAATATTTTCCGGTGTGCGAACGCTCCTTGGCCGGCCAGAGCCTGGCAGATTTGCCACAGAACCTGTTGCCTCGAATTTACGCACCAGACGACCGATGGTTGTTTCATTTGGGCGGTTGTTGCGACCGAAATGTTGGCGAAGCGCGCGAAACGTGTTTTTTATTTTTGCACCATTTTTGTATATACGACTCCATAGCGATCAATGGTAAACATTCAACTAACAAAATGACATGTCGGTGACAGAAAACAAAGATGGCGTCTATGTCAAATTGACGTTTACTTTCCTGCGTCCCTATTGGACAACCCTATACTTATAGTCAAACAAGATTCGTATTTCTTATGAAATCGGTTCCTTTCGATGTTTAATTAGAGTTTTATTGGATAAACAAGTTTTTAGTTTCGGTATAGCAAGTCGGCGACCCCTTTCATTTGACTAAATCCCTTATCGAGCTCGAAAAGAATAATGGGAAAGCTAGTCAAAGAAAACGAGGCGTAGAATGGCTTTTTGGAATAAGAGTATGGAATAATGCAATTAGCAAAAAATATGCACGAAATACGAAATTTAATTTCATTATCTTGTTTCATACATTGACAACCATTATTCTTGTTAAATCTTGAAACATTTTAGTTTAGCAAAAAATTTTAATTCCTATTCAAATATTATCTGCCTGAATGCGTGGATAGTGTAGGATCGGCAATTTACACCTCTGTTCTTATTTCGGTAATGTCGTATTCTCAAAAAAATATTATTCCTCTCCATTACAACGTAGCATAGAATCAGTACATATTCCTATTGCAAACTCACAGAACGACCATGAAATGGGGTAAATTGAAAAGTTACGCTGCTGGTTCAGGCGCCACCCCACCACCGCTTCGGCCATCGAGGAAACTTTGTAACTCCATTACGGTCGATAAATTGGATATGTATACATTAGTTGCCAGTTAATTATGCACGTTACGAAATTGTACGCTGGTCTGACGGTCCGTCGGTGTGTCGATCGCCATTCACCGAAGGTTGAGCGTCCTTTCAAAGTCACGCTGCCAAAGTACACAAACGTGGATAAATTGAGTTGATCGGTTTTGGTCACCATAATATGGTCGCTGATGACCTAAAGGATGCAATAACTTCATTTATATGATGAGAGCAAGAATTGTATATTGACGGTTCTAACAATGTTAACATTTACTGGAAGCGCTTATTTTTCCTTTTGGGTGCCAATATTGAAGAACCTTTTTTTTTGTAAAACGCCTGACTCGATTTTGGACAATGCCTATGGGAAGCGATATTTGATAACTTACATCCTCAACAAGACCACCAAGACTATTCCATCTTTATTTACTGAAGTGCAAGTACATCCCAAATATACAGTTACATTGAAAAATTTATTTCTTAACAATATTTTTTTAAACTCTTTGTTGAATGTAATATAATTACTGAATTGTTCAACTTTAACTGGTAATTTGTTGAAAAAAATGACGCAGTTGTAATATTTATGCTTGGATTTTATGCTGATATAAATCCATGTTTTCTGGCCGCTAAATGCAACCACATGTATGGAAATTACTATTCACTAATAAAGTCTCGGCTGGTCAAACATATGAAAATGACAATTTGCTGTATCAATCAACAGAAACAATTGTTGGGAAGTATGTACATTTTTTCCAAATCGAACATTTTCCAAATTGAGATCACGCTCCGCTGATCCGACGGCCACAATTTCATTAACTTTATCGTTTGATCCGGCAATATTAAAACGCGTTCCACCACATCAACGTTCGACCAGTAGTGTGGTGGCGTCGCAAGCTCATTTGCAATAACGTCAAGTTCCAGCCCAGTAAATACGCTTTTCTATTCTTTCTAAAATTAGATAGGTCTTTCCGAACGGTGATGCTCCATCCCACTTCTGATGCTATACGGGGTGATTCACGAGTCGTGACCAAAAATCAAACATAATTCACACGACCGCATTTTAAGGGGGGTCTCCTAAGGCGTACTATTTTTATTTGGAAAAATAATGCCACTGATCCCCTGTATCTCCGCCACTGGTGTACGTTAATTTTAAGTAAAGACCTTTGAATGTGGACAATACTTGGGTAAATCCACATACTAAATTTTAGTTCATTCATATCTTTTTAATGAAGTCCTCGAGGAAAAAATGTTACATAGAACACCCTTAAACTGTGGTCCTGTGTATCATGTTTCATTTTTGGTCACGACTTGCGAATCACCCTGTATAGCCGTGCAGTATAGTTGAGCAAGTGATAAGATCTTATTCAAATGATTTGGGGCTTCATCTTTTCACGTATAGGAATACAAAAATTTATTGACTTGAAACTTGCAAAAATGGAATTTATAGATGTAAAATTGAGGATGCTGAATACCATAGATCGTCGTTTTCACTCAATCGCACCTATTTCTGAATTCCGGATATGTGTGAGCAACAATTTTAGGGCTTTTTATTACATGTGTTTTTTAGTTCCACTATATTAGGTTACACGTATTGTTAAGCATACGAGAAACAAATGATATGCGTGATTACTAAAAATAATCAGAAATTAGAGTGTGTATTTTTTAAGAAACCTCAAGAAAACATACTCGATTAATATTGGGACCATAAAGAATATAAAGGAAAAAATTTATTGAGATTACGAGACAAATTTTATGGCAAAATCGCATTAATAAATATATACAAAAAGGAAAGTACGCATTGTGATAAAGTAGAGCTATCATGGTGTACATAGCGAACAACAGAATAACTGTAGTTTATGCAAAACCTGGAGGGAAATTAATGTGACGATTCTTTCAAGCTTCCTCGCTCCATAAGAGCGTCATTCTATCGAAATCTAGGAAACAAAGTTGTCTGTTGGTAATTTAAGCTGTATATTCCTGATTCTAAAAGGCGTTCCACATGATCGTCACATCTCTTAAATTCTAATTGAAGATGTAATCCGTCGTTCTAGGTTCCTTGATCCCAGACTATCGTAGAGCAGCGGGACATATCAGCAGGAGAGCAATGTCATTTAACTCTAGTCAAACTGATGTAAAGTTTCCCAATGATCAATTAAGACTCAAGCGATCGGAATGGAATACGGCACAAATCTGGTTAAATCTGGCGTACGCTAATTCCCCAGCTGGAATCCAAACGGGATGAGCCGAAGCTGAAGCTCGCTGTGATATGCTGCGCTCGCTGGTGTCATTGCCCAGATGGAGCTCCCGACAACCGGAGTATTCCTTGTGGAATTACGGGCACGTAATTCAGAGGTTTATGAGAGTCGATCAAATTAGGAAGTATTTTACGATAACATTGTAATTGAAAAATATAAAAACCTTTAAAACTTTGTGTTTTGATGTAATACGCCGGGTTCACAGTGACGTGAACAATGTTAGCTAACATTGTTAGCTAACAGTGTTCGCTAGCAATTTCCTACTAACGTTTACATTAATAATAACATTGTTCTCCAACAAAAACTGGTGTTCGCGACATTGGCGGTAAACGTCAAAGGAAACGATGTTATTTCGGCATTTCGATTGCGAGCATGTCAAGACACGCGAGTTTTATTCTCTTTATCTCAACTAGAGTTTAGTTCTACGTAGAGTTCCGTCTTTTGTTTATGCCCTAATGGAGTGGAGCACGGAAAAATGCATATATTTGATAAAACAGTTTGAAAAACAGTAGTGTTAATGAAATGTACAAGTTAAGCAATATAAAAACGTTTTAAATAAGAAAGGTTCATGGCATGATATTGGAGTAAACCTCGAATCAACTGCAGAGGGTGTTGAAAACCAAATGAAATCTGTGTTGGCTGCTTATCGCAGAAAAAATAAAAAAGTAATTGATTCAACCAAATAGGCACTGGGGCTGATAATATTTATCCACTGAAATGGTATCCTCGTAAGCAGTTTGCAAGATGATATCTAGTAAAATTTCTGAAACCACTGGCATCTTACATTCTTAGAACTGGTAAAAGAGAACTTCCTGCGAGTTTTTTAATATTGCTTTAATTTACCATCTTCTTGTTCTTTACTTTACAAAATGATTGCGGCCCTACACAAAATAAGCTCATCCTGTTAGCAAACAATTTTAAATAACGATTTTTCACAAACATGCTTCGTTGAACTTTTGTTAGCTAACAATGCGTTAGGGAACATTGTTTACGTCATTGTGGACCCGGCGTCAGAGGATACTGATCATTTTCAGAAATTTTCTTGCAGGGGTTTAAAATTAGATGATGGGAGACGTGGTGGATGTTGGAGAGTATACTCGTGTACAGTTTTTGGTGCTTGCAATTTATACGTTTATAATTTCGATAATTATCCGCACCTCTTAGATATTCGCCCCTAAAACTTGCATAATAGAGATATGATCTTTCTACTTCAAATGCTGAGCGACACTGAATGATGATTCTCGTATATACAACCCCGTGCTGGATTGCCATACCATATTTCTGGGTGGTCGGTAGTAACGGTAGGGTAGTAGGCTAGATCGCAATATGGCCAAATCTGTGGGGACTATGGACTAATTGTATCAAGAAGTTTAACTGACATGATCCATTTATTTCCTTTGTTATATATGTTCTTAGCTAACTTTTTTTTCCAAAAAAGTACTGATTTTTGCCGAATATACCGGGTCAACCTACTTGAGGGTTGTCTACAAATAAGTAGTTTAAGAGATACATCGAAATATTGTTTTTTATCTAATTTAAATGCGACATACATGGCATCGTTTAGAAAATATTATATTATTAGTTATACCATATAGTTTGCATAACTGTCTCACGTTAATTTTTTAAGTAATCAGTCACTCCATTTTTACGTGGCACACGCTGTATACGAATATCCATCCTTGACGAACACCTGTGGTGAGCCCCAAACCAGCAAATCAAGAAAACAGATTAATATTGCTGACGTTTTGAGAGTTTTGATAGTGGTTTGTATGTGCTTGACTATGATTTCCGATCCACAGCTTTCATAAAATGTGGATATTCTCTTTGCCTGGATTTGTCCACGTATATTTACGTTATAATAAACCGAAATTACTCTGTTTTCGTTAAAAACAAATAGAAACAAAAATACTGTATTTCCTTTACCCTTCCTAATATAATATTAATATAGGTATAGTAAAGCTGAAATGTCGCAAAATATGAAACATCTTCAATAATACATTCAAATGCACATTGCACGGATATG